AGGAGGAAGTTTAAGCATTTTGCATTACAAGCGGAGCAATTATGAAAACAACAACTCGATAAGATATCAGACTAGAGCTTTTGAAGACGTGTTACACACGAAAGAGAACAGTATACCAAGGCAGGAAGAACAAACAACACAACAAGACACGCTCAACATGAGGTTTTGAAAAATACTAAATACTTTTCACGTGGACCAAGAAGGTATAGTTTTACCTACCCTTTTGTATCTCACTCAGGAACTCTTGTGACTCCAAGGAATAGTAACAGAGGAGATCCTGAGACTCTAAGGCAGGGGTCAGCAACCTTTATACACTAGTGATAAGTGACTAGTGACTAGTCGGTCACTTAATGGTGCAAGTAATCAGCGATCGCCCGCAGGTGTACTGAGCCAACATAAGGCAGCACTGCGTTCCACAGAATTGAACATAAAGTCAGAAATGCACGACTATATTTTATTGTCAGAAAAATGTTACAAACACACCGATATTTAAGACATAACATAGCTTGCATTTGCAGGTATACTTAGTCTGTATTGAAATAATAGCACTTGTCACCAGCCTAGTTAAATATTTTGTAATAAAATGAGGGAAACATAACTTTAGCAATACAAAATATGGAAATATGAGACTAGGCCCAGTATGGACCTATTGGCCCATACTGGGCAGTCCCGTTTACACCCAACACTTATCGCTCATATATCCATCCATCCAACCTAATAAAAGCATACGGGGGAAATTGCTTTATAAAGTAGTATTATGATATCCTGCAGTAAACAGTAAAATACCCCCTCCCCCCCAAAAAAATAAAAATAATAATAATAATAATAATAATAATAATGTGATGACAAAGAAAAAAATATCCTCCATGTGTTATATTCAGGTAAAATAAAATTTGCTTAATGCATGGAAAAATAAGGGCTTCAATTCCAAATTAAAATACACAAAACAATACCAAAACTAATGCGAGGGTTGAGCCGCCTGGATATGATTAGAAATTTCAGAAAAAGTTAGACCAAAGTTTGTTACAGCAGCCTTCACCAGTTCTGTGGTGTGACTGCTTGTGAGCTTAGAGCGGTCCGTGTTCTTCACAAAGGTAAGCACACTGAACGTCTGCTCACAGCAGTATGTTGATTTCCTTGCTTTTTATTTTCACCAAAAATATAAGGAATAATAACTGTTTTACTGGCCAACTAGCACGTAATTTAAACGTCACTTAGCCGGCTGCATACATACTCCTTTCTGGCCGCATACGGCCCGAAAAATGGGGGTTGCGGGCCCCTGCTCTAAGGAGTAGTAAAAGAAGAGATCCTGTGACTGCAAGGGGTAATAGAGAAGAGATCCTGTGACTGCAAGGGGTAATAGAGAAGAGATCCTGTGACTGCAAGGGGTAATAGAGAAGAGATCCTGTGACTGCAAGGGGTAATAGAGAAGAGATCCTGTGACTCCAAGGAGTAGTAGCAGAAGAGATCCTGTGACTCCAAGAAGTAGTAGCAGAAGAAATCCTGTGACTCCAAGGAGTAGTAACAAAAGAGATCCTGTGACTCCAAGGAGTAGTAGCAGAAGAGATCCTGTGACTCCAAGGAGTAGTAACAGAAGAGATCCTGTTACTTCCAGGAGTAGTAGAGAAGAGATCCTGTGACTCCAAGGAGTAGTAACAGAAGAGATCCTGTTACTTCCAGGAGTAGTAGAGAAGAGATCCTGTGACTCCAAGGAGTAGTAACAGAAGAGATCCTGTTACTTCCAGGAGTAGTAGAGAAGAGATCCTGTGACTGCAAGGGGTAGTAGAGAAGAGGTTCCTGTGACTCCAAGGAGTAGTAGCAGAAGAGATCCTGTGACTCAAGGAGTAGTAGCAGAAGAGATCCTGTGACTCAAGGAGTAGTAACAGAAGAGATCCTGTGACTTCCAGGAGTAGTAGAGATCCTGTGACTGCAAGGGGTAGAAAGAGATCCTGTGACTCAAGGAGTATGTAAAGAGATGCTGTGACTCCAAGGAGTAGTAACAGAGAATCCTGTTACTTCCAGGAGTAGTAGCAGAAGAGATCCTGTGACTGCAAGGGGTAGTAGGAGAGATCCTGTGACTCAGGAGTAGTAGCAGAAGAGATCCTGTGACTCAAGGAGTAGTAACAGAGATCCTGTGACTCCAAGGAGTAGTGAAAAGAATCCTGTGGAAGGCTAGGAGTAGAAGAGATCCTGTGACTCAAGAATTAGCAAAGAGATGCTGTGACTCCAAGGAGTAGTAACAGAAGAGATCCTGTGACTCAGGAGTAGTAACAGAAGAGATCCTGTGACTTCCAGGAGTAGTAGCAGAAGAGATCCTGTGGGAGTATTAGCAGAAGAGATCCTGTAACTCCAGGAGTAGTAACAGAGATCCTGTGACTTCCAGGAGTAGTAGCAGAAGAGGTCCTTGACTCAAGGAGTAGTAACAGAAGAGATTCTGTGACTCAGGAGTAGTAACAAGAGAGATCTATGACTCCAAGGAGTAATAACAGAAGAGATCCTGTGACTTCCAGGAGTAGTAGAGAAGAGATCCTGTGACTCCAAGGGGTAGTAAGAAGAGATCCTGTGACTCAAGGAGTAGTAGCAGAAGAGATCCTGTGACTCCAAGGAGTAGTAACAGAAGAGATCCTGTGACTTCAGGAATAGTAGAGAAGAGATCCTGTGACTCAAGGAGTAGTAACAGAAGATCCTGTGACTTCCAGGAGTAGTAGAGAAGAGATCCTGTGACTCCAAGGAGTAGTAGCAGAAGAGATCCTGTGACTCAAGGAGTAGTAGCAGAGATCCTGTGACTCCAGGAGTAGTAACAGAAGAGATCCTGTGACTTCCAGAATAGTAGAGAAGAGATCCTGTGACTTCCAGGAGTAGTAGCAGAAGAGATCCTGTGACTCAAGGAGTAGTAACAGAGATCCTGTGACTTCAGGAGTAGTAGCAGAAGAGATCCTGTTACTTCCAGGAGTAGTAGCAGAAGAGATCCTGTGACTCCAAGGAGTAGTAACAGAAGAGATCCTGTGACTTCCAGGAGTAGTACAGAAGATCCTGTGACTCAAGGAGTATTAGCAGAAGATCCTGTAACTCCAAGGAGTAGTAACAGAAGAGATCCTGTGACTTCCAGGAGTAGTAGCAGAAGAGGTCCTTTGACTCCAAGGAGTAGTAACAGAAGAGATTCCTGTGACTCCAAGGAGTAGTAACAGAAGAGATCCTATGACAGGAGTAGTAACAGAAGAGATCCTGTGACTTCCAGGAGTAGTAGAAGATCCTGTGACTCCAAGGAGTAGTAGCAGAAGAGATCCTGTGACTCAGGAGTAGTGCGAAGAGATCCTGTGACTCAAGGAGTAGTAACAGAAGAGATCCTGTGACTTCCAGGAGTAGTAGAAGATCCTGTGACTCAAGAGTAGTAGCAGAAGATCCTGTGACTCCAAGGAGTAGTAACAGAAGAGATCCTGTGACTTCAGGAGTAGTAGCAGAAGAGTCCTTTGACTCCAGGAGTAGTAACAGAAAATTCTGGGCTCCAAGGGTAGTAAACAGAAGAGATCCTATGACTCAGGAGTAGTAACAGAAGAGATCCTGTGACTTCCAGGAGTAGTAGAAGATCCTGTGACTCCAAGAGTATGCGAAGAGATCCTGTGACTCCAAGGAGTAGTAACAGAAGAGATCCTGTGACTTCCAGGAGTAGTAGAAGAGATCCTGTGACTCCAAGGAGTAGTAACAGAAGAGATCCTATGACTTCCAGGAGTAGTAGAAGAGATCCTGTGACTCCAGAGTAGTAACAGAAGAGATCCTGTGACTCCAGGAGTAGTAGAGAAGAGATCTGTGACTCCAGGTAGTAGCAGAAGAGATCCTGTGACTCCGAGGAGTAGTAGCAGAGATCCTGTGACTCCAAGGATAGTAGCAGAAGAGATCCTGTGACTCCGAGGAGTAGTAGCAGAGATCCTGTGACTCCAAGGAGTAGTAACAAAAGAGATCCTGTGACTCCAGGAGTAGTAACAGAAGAGATCCTGTGACTTCAAGGAGTAGTAGCAGAAGAGATCCTGTGACTCCGAGGAGTAGTAACAGAAGAGATCCTGTGACTCCGAGGAGTAGTAGCAGAAGAGATCCTGTGACTCCAAGGAGTAGTAACAAAAGAGATCATGTAACTCCAAGGAGTAGTAACAGAGGAGATCCTGAGATATAGGGAGGCGTGTGGGTTCACCTCGCAGCACATCCTGACACCTGCAGCCTCACCTCCTAAATTAAATACTTGGTATGCATGAAGTAACCTCCTGGGGACCTTCACACGCTTCACGAGACAAGAGAAGACGACGACGGCGCTCAGAGAGAAACTAAAAGAATAACAATTGATATAAGAATCGTCACAAGTTTCATTAACATTCAGTTGAGAGGTTGGAGAAATTTTGCTCTGTAATTAAAAAATTGTGATGAGGCGGATGTTGGCAGAAGGTGGCAAGATGAAGCGGATGTTGGCAGCATAAGGTGGCATATTGAGGCAGATGTTGGGAACAGAAGGTGGCATGATGAGGCGCATGTTGGCAGCGGAAGGTGGCATGTTGAGGCGGACGTTGGCAGAAGGTGGCAAGATGAGGCAGGTGTTGACAGCAGAAGGTAGCAAGGTGAGGCGGAAGTTGCCAGCAGAAGGTGGCATGATGAGGTGGATGTTGGCAGCAAAGGTGGCATGTAGAGGTGGATGTTGGCAGAAGGTGGCATGTTGGTGTTGGCAGCAGAAGGTGGCATGTTGAGGTGGATGTTGGCAGCACAAGGTGGCATGTTGAGGCGGATGTTGGCAGAAGGTGGCAAGATGAGGCGGATGTTGGTAGCATAAGGTGGCATGTTAAGGCAGATGTTGGTAACAGAAGGTAGCATGATGAGGCGGATGTTGGTAACAGAAGGTAGCATGATAAGGCGGATGTTGGCAGCGGAAAATGGCATGTTGAGGCGGATGTTGGTAACAGAAGGTGGTATGATGAGGCGGATGTTGGCAGCAGAAGGTGGCATGATGAAGCGTGGTATTAGCAGAAGGTGGCATGATGAGAAGTGTGTTGGCAGAAAGTGGCATGTTGAAGCGGGTGTTGACAGCAGAAGGTAGCAAGGTAGGGCAGAAGTTGCCAGCAGAAGGTGGCATGATGAGGCGATGTTGGCAGCGGAAGGTGGCATATTGGAGGCGGGTGTTGGCAGCGGAAGGTGGCATATTGAGGCGGGTGTTGGCAGCAGAAGGTGGCATGTTGAGGTGGATGTTGGCAGCACATGGGGCAGTTGAGGCGGGTGTTGGCAGCAGAAGGTGGCATGTTGAGGTGGATGTTGGCAGCACAAGGTGGCATGTTGAGGCGGGTGTTGGCAGCAGAAGGTGGCATGTTGAGGTGGATGTTGGCAGCACAAGGTGGCATGTTGAGGCGGGTGTTGGCAGCAGAAGGTGGCATGTTGAGGTGGGTGTTGATAGCAGAAAGTGGCATGATGAGGCGGGTGTTGGCAGCAGAAGGTGGCATGTTGAGGCGGGTGTTGATAGAAGGTGGCATGATGAGGCGGATATTGGCAGAAGGTGGCATGTTGAAGCGGGTGTTGTCAGCAAAACGTGGCATGTTGAAGCGGATGTTGGTAACAGAAGGTATGTTGAGGCGAATGTTGGGGAAAATATTAGCAGTAGAAGGTGGCATAATGAGGCCAGTATAGGCAGCAGAAGGTGGCAGGATAAAGCGGGTGTTGGCAGCAGAAGGTGGCATGATGAAGCGGGTATTGGCAGAAGGTGGCATGATGAGACGTGTGTTGGTAGAAAGTGGCATGTTGATGCGGGTGTTGACAGCAGAAGGCGGCAAGGTGAGGTGGAAATTGCCAGTAGAAGGCGGCATGATGAGGTGGATGTTGGCATCACAAGGTGGCATGTTGAGGCGGATGTTGGCAGAAGGTGGCATGATGAGGCAGGTGTTGGTAGCAAAGCGTGGCATGATGAGGCGAGTGTTAGCAGCAGAAGGTGGTGTGATGAAGCGGGTGTTGGCAGCAGATGGTGGCAAGGTGAAGCGGATGTTTATTTGCTTGACTTACTACTGTCAATATTTTATTCAGTGTCCAAACGGTTTATGAAGATCACCTAGCGATTAAACCCCCAAATTGTTTCACTTGAAGATTAACCAACGAAAAGCTAACCTAAACTAACCGCTAACCTAAGCTAAAAAATCCCCAGGTAGCGTTACGGTGATTACCCTTCAGAAGAAATAAGCTGAGGTGTCTAATCTTCTGGTGATCCGTTTAAGATGAATGTAAGAATTCTAATGCCAGTATTCTTTTTACTTTTTAAGTAAATGTTTGAGACAGAATTAGGTATGTGACGGCCGAGTGACTACAGCGCTTGCCTCCAGTCCCAGAAGGTCGCGGTTGAATCCCAAGACACTCATTCTCCAGTCCACCCAGCTGTACAGTAAATGGGTACCTGACTTTACAGCTGGAAGAGTGAGGACGGTCAGGTAAAGTGCCGATGACGCTGCCTCCTGATGTACTACTTCGTTTGCAGGTAACAGCAAATAATCCCACACCTTGAGTAGGGATTAACATCCTTATTCTATATCACAATACCAACTTTAGGATCACCTGAATATTAGACAGATTATTTTACCTGATAATAAAACACCTTAACAATAACTGGGGATTAGGTTCGGTTAAGTTAGATTAGTATTAAGATGTTTGGTCTTTACATAAACGATACCGGGGTGCCCAGTCTTCAGGTTAATCAACCTTTGTCCCAAAAATCGACTATGAAACAAAGAATCTTGAAGAAAAAAAATAACGAGCAATTTTTTTCCACGGTACACCAGTTACCAAAGTCACTAAGAAATTCTCCTTTGAACATTTTATAATTTGAATGTTGAAATATGTTAATAAATTCATACTGAATGGAGACTAGTTTCTTTAGCACAGCTGATCTTGTCGTGTTGAAATAAAAATTAAACTTTCACTACTAAGCATATCAAAGTGGGTTTTGTGTTCTAACCTCAAATAATTTTGCAAAACGTCCTGAATATCTTGAGTTGACTGTCCTGTGAACCTTACTCTTAAGTATTAAATAAACAGATCACCTAAAAAAATTGCATCCCAGCTTATTTATCTTCAAGATTAACCTACCTAATGTTACCTGAGGGGGTTAGGTTAGGTTAGGTTAGGTTAGGTTAGGTTAGGTTCGGCGAGGTTAGGTTAGGGTGATTAACCTTCAGGTGATTCAAATAATTAATTAAAATATTTATATTCATCATATATTTATCTTTCGTTGTCCAAGTTCTCATCAAATTCTCGTGTTATGCTGTGGCCTCAATAGCTTCCCTTCCTGCTTACTCTCCTACCCACGACTTACTCACTCTACTATTTCTTACTCTCCTCACCATGACTTACTCTCCCCACCATGACTAAATCTCCCCACCATGACTTACCTCCCACATGACTAACCTCCCCACCATGACTTACTTCCCACCATGACTTCTTCCCACCATGACTTACTCTCCCCACTATGAATTACTCTCCCACCATGACTTACTCTCCCAGCCATAACTTACTCTCCCACCATGACTTACTACCTCACCATGAGTAACTCTCCCATTATGACTTACTCTCCCCACCGCATTACTCTCCCCACCATGAATAACTCTCCCCATTATGATTCTCTCCACCACTGACTTACTCTCCCCACCATGACTTACTCTCCCACCCATGACTTACTCTCCCACCATGACTCTGCCACCATGACGTACTCTCCCACCATGACTAACTCTCCCATTATGACTTACTTCCACACCATGAATTGCATTCCACCATGACACACTCTCCTACCATGACTTACTCTCCTCACCACGACTTACTCTCCCATCAATGATTTACTCTCCCACCATGACTTACTCTCCCATTATGACTTACTCTCCACACCATGACTTACATCTTCCACCATGACTTACTCCCCCACCATGACTTGCTCTCCTCACCATGACTTACTCTCCCACCATGACTTACTCTCCCACATGACATACTCCCCACCATGACTAACTCTCCCCACCATGATACTACTTCCCCACCATGACTTACTTCCCATCATGACTTACTCTCCCACCATGACTTACTTCCCCACCATGACTCTTCCCATTATGACTTACTCTGACCATGACTTACTCTCCCACATGACTTACTCCCCACCATGACTTACTCTCCCACCATGACTTACTCTCCCCACCATGACTCTCCCACCATGACTTACTCTCCCTACCATGACTCTCCCCCACCATGACTAACCTCACCATTATGACTTACTCCCCCACCATGACTTACTCTCCCACCATAACTTGCAATACTCTCCCCACCATGACCCACTCTCCCTACCATGACTTACTCTCCTCACCACGACTTACTCTCCCCCACCATGACTTACTCTCCTCAACCATGACTTACTCTCCCCACCATGACTTACTCTCCCCATTATGACTTACTCTCCACACCATGACTTCTACTCTCCCCACTATGACTTACAGTATCCCCACCATGACTAATCCTTTCCCATTATGACTAACCTCCCCATTATGACTTACTCCCCACCATGACTTACAGTACTCTCTCCCACCAAGACTTACTCTCACCACCATGACTTACAGTACTCTCCCACCATGACCCACTCTCCTACCATGATTCTCCCCACCATGATTCTCTCTCCCACCATGACTTACTTCCCAACAATGACTCTACTTCCCCACCATGACTTACACTCTCTCCCACCACTGGCTCACTCTCCCTACCAAGACTTACTTCCCTACCACGACTTACTCTCCCCACCATGACTTACTCTCCACCATGACTTACTTCTCCCCACCATGACTTACTTCCCCATTATGCTTACTCTCTCCACACCATGACTTACTTCCCCATTATGACTTACAGTACTCTTCCCACCATGACTTCCTTTCCCCATTATGACTTACTCTCCACACCATGACTTATTCTCCCGACCATGACTTACTCTCCCACCATGACTTACTCCACCATGACCTCTACTCCCCACCATGATTACTTCCATGACTTACTCTCCCCACCATGACTTACTCTCCCACCATGACTTACTTCCTACCATGACTTGCCTCCCCACCATGATTTACTCTCATCACCATGACTTACTCCTCCCATTATGAGTTACTCTCCCACCATGACTTACTCTCCCCACCATGACTAACTCTCCCCATTATGACTTACTCTACCCACTATGCCTTACTCTCCCCACCATGACTTACTCTCCCCCATGACTCTCTCCCACCATAACCAACTCTCCCCATTATGACTAACTCTCTCACCATGACTTGCTCCCTGTTTACTCTCCCCACAATGACTTACTTCCCCACCATGTCTTACTCTCCCACCATGACTAACTCTCCCCACCATGACTTACTCTCCCACCATGACTACAATACTCTCCGTCAAGACTTACTCTCACCACCATGACTTACAGTACTCTCCCCACCATGACCCACTCTCCCTACCATGACTTACTTCCCACCATGATCACTCTCCCACCATGACTTCCTCTCCCACCATGACTTACAGTACTTCCCACCATGACTTACTCTCCTGCCATGACTTACTCTCCCCACCATGACTTACCTCACCATGACATACACTACTCTTCCCACCATGACTCATCTCCCCACCATGATTTATACTCTCCCCACCATGACTAATCTCCCCACTATGTCTTACTCTCCCTGCCATGACCGTACTCTCCCAACCATGACTTACTCCCCTACCATCACTTACTCCCCACCATGACTCCCCACATGACTTACAGTGCTCTCCCACCATCACTTCTCTCTGCACCTTGACTAACTCTCCCCATAGACTTCTTCCCCACCATGACTTACAGTACTTCCCCCATAATGAATTACTCTCCCTACTGACTTCTCTCCCATTATGACTTACCTCCCACCATGACTTACTCTCCTAACCATGACTTACTCTCCCCACCATGACTTACTCTCCCATTATGACTTACTTCCCACCATGACTTACTCTCCCATTATGACAGTACTCTCCCCTGAGCTAACTTCCCATTATGACTTACTCTCCACACCATGACTTACTCTCCTCACCATGACTTGCTCTCCCATCATGTAACCTCCCATTTGACTTACCTACATGACCTCTCCCACATGTCTCTCCCACCATGACTTACTCTCCCCCATGTACTCTCCCCACCATGACTTACCCTCCCCATCATGACTTACTTCTCCCACCATGACTTCTTTCTCCCCCCATGACTTACTCTCCTCTGCTTCTCCCATGATTACTCCC